AATAAGAAGAATATTGTTATTGATTTCCAGGCAATTTGCAGAATATATACATTTTAACTTTTTAGACTCTTTGGTTGCGGGATTTCAAAACAGGCGGGTACCTGTTTTTACCGCTAGCTTTTTGCTACAGTTCTTGTCTAGTACTCTGAGGTGGAGCAATTTCCCTCCGTAGTCCGTGCGTTACCATTTTGGGTAGAATTCCTTACTAGTTGAGAAGACTACTGTTTTCACGTAAGTCTATATACAACCTTCGTTTAAATTTAAACAGAATTTTGGAGACAAATTAAACTTTATGTTTTTTAAACGTTATAATTTTAGTTACTCATCTGTTATCAGGACCGTATTAAGAAATGTGTACATATGTGCATACATATGCATGGTGTGTATACATACACAAGTTTCTGAACCCGGTCTTGATAACAGAAGAGTACAAAATTTTATTTTTGAGAAATGTGGTAATTTTTGACTGTGAGAAGAAAATTCTGAGAGACTTTAAAAATGTGCAGTTTTCGTTTCCTTTTTTTTTTTTTTTTTTTTTTTTTTTAACTTTCTACTTACGTATCATTTTGGTGTTAAATTTTAAGCATTTTTATAAGAATAGAAATTTCAGATAAGGGAAGAAGCGCAAAAAGATTTAACATGAACAACTAGAATTACATAGAGACTAATTGTATTGGAACCTCTGGGAACGATAATTTAGTACACAGCCAAAATTACAGGAACATAATTGAATATAACAAGAAATCTTAAAAGGACTATCTTTATAGTTTTTGCAATGTGAAGAAATTGGTAGGGGTATTGCAACATCTACTGTAATATTACTTTATTCTATGATGTTTAAACGGCGTAAATTTGTAAAAAAACTGAAAAGTATTTTGTTGTTTGACTTCTGAATAAGTATTTGGAAGTTAATTGTTAGCAAACCGCAGTGGATAATAAAGATTATTTCCAACAGATGGCGCCACTGCCGAAGAACTCGTGCGTTGCCGACCATAGGTGTCTGCGTCAGGAGAGGGAAACTGTTCACCAACTTCTTTCCACTGGCTTGCTTACCAAAGCTATGGTTCGACAAGCGTTGTGCATTTTTTTAGATCTTGTAATTTTCTAGAAAGTGGCTTTCATAACGTACCATCACTTCATAAGCTGTTTCTTATATATATGGTGCTCGTTGCTATCATATACAGTAAAGTTCGTGTCTGATATAAAACTAGAAGTATAGGCTAGACCAGTGGTTCTCAAATTAGGGGGAATTTCATAGTTCCAGGGGGGGGGAAATGCGGTCAACCTTTTGTTTACCTCTCAAGGTATTTAGTTTTATTTTATAAATGCCAAAAACTACTTTTATACAAGTTCTGGTATTTATTAGTATTTTTTATACATTTTCTTGTTTAATTTATACAATACATTAAAAAGTAATCTAAATTTAAATAAATGCATTTATAACAATTTTTTGAGTTTTGGAGCAGGGGCGGGAATGATTGTATGGCAGTGGTGAAAGGAGTGAAGAGAGCAAAAAAAGATGAGAACCAATGGTCTAGATAGAGCAATGCCGATGAATTTTAAAACTGAATTTTTGTAACAGTCACTTTAGAAACAGAAAATGAAATGAGCGTCATGAAACTATTTCCGTCGAATATAAACTATTAAACTGTTCCAAATCAATAAGACGATTTAAGAAACTGTAGAAGTTTAGGTTATAATTTATCTTTTAAGTAAATCTATATTTCAGTTAATAACCATTTCTCATCCACATTATTCATTTGGCAAGTTTTTGCGTTAAACATGTTGATAACGAAATCAGTTTGCGTAAGAAGCGTAAAAAGTAGTCTTCAAATTAAAAAAATTCTTTGGAATCAAAGACTTGTCAAACAAAATCGTAAGGGGATGATAAATAAAATTTAGAAGACTATTTTGAATATTTTGATACTTATAATGGCTTATCTGGCTGACACATTGTATTAAGATATCATTTTAATTTTGTTGTTATAGACTTTCGAAATAATCATTAATATCAGTTATAGATTGGTATCACAAAAGCTATTTTTCTCGTGTAGCTAAAATTCATAAATTTAGGCTCAAAGTTCTTTGGCATAATTTTAAAACAGATCTTTATCAATAATTTTGGTTTTTAAGAATAAAAGTGTGCACAAAGAAGATAAATTCCTTATTACAACATTACTTTGATTCTTGATACTTTTTTTACATATGAATTTTTTCATGAGTTAAAAAAAAACTTCAATGGTAGTGCTGAATGACTTAATTTGAAAGAAATTTTCAGAAACAAATCTTAATATTTCTTTTAAAATATTTTAAATTTCATCTCTTATATTAATAATGGTAAAGTTTATTAAATTCCTTTTTAATGTTAAATTTATTTATATTACTTTTATAAAAAAGATGTTGACTAACGGTTGATTGCGACTGAAGTTAGTCATACGAGATAAAATTAAACATCCAGTTTTGATTAGTATACTGTAAAACGTGTAGAGGCTTGTTGTAACAAGTCATAGTTATGTGAAGTTTATACGTATCATTTGAGAAAGGTGCTAGCAAGCTTTGTTTGCTTAAATACCGTTAAGTAACTTGTTTAAAAACCTCTAATTTACAAACTGCAAATATTGTTTTTATGAGCTTTGACCCTAATTCGTCAGTTTATGATGTTTTTGAACGAATTCCCTTCAATGAACTTTCGATTTCACCATCATGTATCATTTTTTGATTGCAATGATTCATGCATCATTTTTGCGATCCATTTGAGTTTCTAAAATCAGTAGTCTATTGTATTAGTTTCTGGACACGCACTTCTAACTGAAAAGTTCTTTAAGCTGTGATAGGCTTGGCTTTTTGGTTTGTTTGATTATTACAAATATTTGAGAGATAGCTGCTAAGGGAAGGGATACCTTCGCGGAGGACTTTCTAAGAGAAATTGGCCTTAAACGATGATAAGTTTTATGAAACCATTTTAGTGCTGGAGAAAAGGGAATTTTTGTCAGCATAAAATCTAACCTTTGATACGGACCCAGTAGAGCAAAAATTTGATTTAGTAAAAGATTTCATTATGCTATAATATCAATATCTAATATAACATATCTTTAAGTGAAAATTTGCGGAGATATTTGAAAATGAATTTAATTAACTTTACTCCTTTTTTTGTGCGTATTAGAAATAAAAATTCACAAATTTTCAAACAAATTCAGGAAGCAAATTTCAAAAAAAGGAAGGAAGCGAAGGAACCAAATTATTTAATGGATTGTTTGTACATAAACAGCACTCATTATTACATTTGTAACTGGCATCTCAAAATATTTATTACTATTATTTTCCCGAATTTCGCACGATAAGAAATACTGTGTTTGAAATTTGATTAGCATGAAACATTTTATTAATTGAAATTTTTTCCAAAGTGGAACATTTAAAAATTTATATTTTATATTTACAAGACCTACCACATCAATGCTGAAACTATTTCCTTAAAATTCTTTGTCTTATCCTTAGAAACCTTGAGTCTTGGAATACATATGTACGCTCAATATTTAAAGATATAAAGTCTGCAACGACATCTTTTCGAACACCATGTATAAGATTTTGCTACCCAGTAATAGAGTATTCATTTGTATTCATATTTAATCTTTGTCTAGAACTCAATTTTGATGTGAATAAATCAGATCTTATGGCAGCAGCTAACACTAAGGAACTATGTACAACTGAATATTTTCATTAGTTAAAGGCGGACTTAAAGAAAATGTTTTGGTCAATCTAGAGAGGTATTGGAGGATATATGCATGGAGTTATATAATTTATTAACGTTTAAGAAGTTTCACAAGAGAACGAAAATATTTTTCTTAATTTATCTATTGATATTTTTTTTTATTTCCGAAAGAAGCGATATGCATTGTTTTGCGTCTCTTGGAAACCTAGAAATATTGTTACCGTATTGCATTATTTCGGAAAAGTTTTCCACTTTGAGAATTGTTAATTTAAAATGGGAGAAAAACCGTATTTTAATGCCCTTAATAACTCAGTTATTAACAGAACCAAAGGAGCTAGAATATAACTGCTTTCGAATAGATAATTTATAAAGATATAGATATAAACTATCTATATCTTGACTATCATCGCGTCAAGGAAGGTTTCCTAGAAGCGTAAAAGATAAAGAAAGATCATGTTTTGTAAGTGTATAGCAATCCTGCGTAGAAACTCGTAGTTTTTTTTGTCACTGAGTTAAGTCTCCTTACAACCTCAATCCAGATATATCCTTTTACATCCTCTTTGGGCCCATCAGCATCTAAGTGAATAAAAAAACCTGAACGCCTGTAATTTGCCTTCGTTCAATTCTGGGCACTTGAATGATTTGAGGATTCTTGGAAATAAGACGTTCCTTCAAGATGGCATCTCCATAAAGAAAAAGACATCGAGCTCTTTACCTTTATAAATTATCTATTTCTTGCTCTCGCAAATTTTGCAGTTCTAGTAACAGAAGAATAAAAGAAATTATTACCAAATCAACATTTCCAACAATTATATATTAATTGCAATAACATTCAGCAGAGTTATCGGGGCTTTACTGCGAAGACCACTGGCTAAATTCTCAGTTGTCTGCTTCTGCATTTCCTTCAGGTTCTTGATCTTTACCCTCCAGTATGACTTCTATTATTTATATTGACTTCCACTCAAGATAAAATAAGAACTAATCTAGAATTTAGTACTTGCCGAGTGGAATATGCACTGAAGTTTGCACGAATTGTGTAAAACAACCAGTTTCGCAACTTCTCCGTGTACAAGTACTACACGAATAAAATGAAACCATAACGATTATTTTTTTAATGTTAATGGTCATTGAGGTCTTAAACTATGGAATTAGAGAATGCATTTGACTTCGATGTACTACCACTAGTTTTTAAATCAGTTAAACATTTGTTTTCATTTAATTTCATTAGCAAAATGTTTGGTTAAGAGTTATATAACACGCACTGGAAAACTCTAAAAATATTTCCACTTACATTGGAGATATTGAGCCACATTCATTACTTGGTAGAGAAAATTCTGATCGAAAAATTTCTGCGGATTGTTCGAAGAAGCCGGCAGGTCCAGATTCTTCGGCGGTATTTTATGAATAACTCGGCCTGGGTCATTTTTCCGGTGTCCATATCGAACGGAAGGTCTGAATGAAAACGGTGTATAGGCTTCTGTGGTGCTGGCTGTCTGCATAAACACTAACAGCACAAGCACCGATCGCTCCAGCATCCTAAGAAAAGAAAATATAAGAAAATTTTAAAATTCAGGAAAATACTATATTTTATGAAACCAGTGTTTGATTAAAGCATTATCGGCAAGTGAAATTAAATTAAACTTTTTTAAGTTTAACATTTAACTTTTTAAGTTTAACCTTTAACTTTTTAAATTTAACCCTGAGATTAAGTTTAAACATCGTTAAATTCGTTCGTAGGTTTAATTCATTTAAATTATGAGAGTGAAGCTAATTATTTTATCACTTAAGTCTACAGCGGTTGAAAAATAGTGAAATTTTGCATCGAAACTCATTACTAAGTTTGGATTTAAATATTTTTTCTGCAATTAGAAGTCTCTTCGTCTCGCAAGTTATTCTAAATTCGTATAAATGATAGGGTTTTAGTTGAAAATAAATGTTTTAATTAATATGTTTGCTTATTTGTGTACACATTTAGTGAATGAGAGCTAAGCCAATATTTTAAATGATAATAATTTTCCCAAAGTATAGAAAGCTAACCAGTTAATAGCAGTTCTAAAACAGGTCACAATACAATTTAAGATGATAGCTATGTTTTTCTGAAATTAGTCCAAGACATTTATTGCAGTTTTATAAACGGATGCAGTAAAACATAAATCAAGTTAAAAGATATGTAATATGTTTATTTATTAAGATATGAACAAATATGTAAATGGAAAATGTTTTATATTCGAAAGTAGATAAGCTTTGGACTAAAACCATTAACTCAACATATCATCGAAATGCAGTTTAACTGAGACGTTCTCTGCAATGCTTTCATAAACACTGTTGCAGCAGCTACATTAGACTGGAAGTTCGGGCCTACCATGCAAAATCCAATTAAATTAACATTTATTGCTGATTACAAGCTTTAATTAAACCAATATTTCTCGAAATGGAGTGAGTATAAAAATTTGCTTACCAAGAGCTGTTTCAAACATTTTCCCTCGGAATAACTATACTAATAATAATTTTAATAAACGCTATTGAAAACTGCACAAATTTAAGAGAGATGCTCTTGAAAAAGGAAACTGTTGAGACTTCATTACGTCAAATGAACTAGCCCATGAAATTCAAGAAAACTGAAAGAACATTAAAGTAAATCGTTTAATACGGAAAATTGGCGAAAAGCTTTTTTACGTTGAAAGTGAGTTAAGAACATGCGTATAACAAAACAGCTATTTTATTATAGCTACTACAAGTGAGAAGAGAATGGCTTATAGAAGTTCTGGAATTTTGCCGAAACGATTATTTTTCAATTTCTGCAATAGAATGTAGGGTAAGGTTCCGCAAGTCGTACCACCGCTTAAGTCGCATCTTTTAAATACTATTAGGCATAATATCACAATATTTGTGTAGAAGACAGAGAAGAGAATATGATTCGGTACCTAAAATTCTAAAGGGTGCATGACTTATGTGCTGGAGTCGACAAGAAAATTAAAAAAAAATACTTTAATGATCATTATTGCAATTAATTGTATAACTAAATTAGTTGAGAAATAGACATTTTTTTATACAAGTAATTGTTCAACTTTAAACGTAGTACGATTTAAGCTATATGCGGTATGACTTCATATTAGTTGTCTAAGTCATATTAAGTTCGTGTTTATAAATTTGATTAATTTGTAACAGAGTAGGTTGTATGGAATTTTATTGTAGTAAATAGCATCAGCGATAACACAAGATATTATTACCTCACATAATTTATATATTTTCATAGATTTTACGACTTATAGTTATTTTTTTATAGGGAACACGACTTACGTAACCTTACCCTATTGCATCTGCTACTCCGAAATTTGCCAAAATAACGACTTTGAGTTGTTCTGAACTTGAAATTCCTTCTCTTAATATTCGTCATAGAATAAAATGTAATTCATGCTTGGTTAAAAATCAAGAAATGAAACTTTATAACATGAACAAAATTGTTGAATTATCGGTTATCGGTTATATCAGGTTCTTTTTTAAGGGGAGCATGAGTGTATTCTAGATTCCGGATACACAGAACTACCCTTTATCAAAAGAAAGAAGATAAGAGGAAGGACAAATTTTACACAAAAGAACTCACAGAAGACTCCTCTTCAGGAAACCTAGTACAAAGCCAACTAAAAGCATAAGCGACATTAAGTAGCCGCCTCGAGCGCTGATTTTCAGAGGTCGCTAGCAAATTTTTTCTCACAAGTGCTAACTGAATTAGAGTGCATTTCGTTTTGAAGTATTAATATGTTTAATTTATACTGATCGTTCTAGGCCAGAACTTCTTAAACTTCTTTCTTTCACAACTTTTCATCTTCGAGATATTTTGTGACTCCAAATACTTAACATGGAATAAAGACATAAAAATAAATATTTACGATAAATAATTTATTTCTTTGGTAAGCAATATACATATGAAAAGAAGCAGTTTTAGGATTTTTTCCCAGCATGCAAAAATTAATGAAAGAAAATTACGTTATATTGGTGCAGATGTGTGTGTTTTTTGATGCATAACAAATTAAATGTTGGCACAATATTTGACACTACTGGACATAAAATATCTTTAATGTTTTTCAGCATTGAATGACATTTGAATTAAGTCAACGTAAAAGCTGAAAAAGTCGTTTCACTTAAGTATGTTGTGCTGAATGGCAAAATCTGAATATCAGAAACTGTGGAAATTTCAGTTCTAGCTTCAATCCAGCATTCGGGCAAGGATTTTTGCGAAAACTCAAGTTTTTATCCACTCGATAGCTCATTAAATCAGGTGACTGATCTCATTAATGTCAATTAATGTAAGTTTTTTAAAAGTCTCCTAAAAAACTTATTTAATTTAGATGCATGCATGAAGTTAAAGAAATTACTTTAACTTCATGCATGCATCTAAATTAAATTTTTGTGAACCCCAACATTTCATATTGTGGCCGCGACACACAAATAAAAAAACACTGGTCTAGGCCGCCGAAAGTATTGGTGCTGGACCTAACCTACTAAGAAGGAGGTGTAGAGGAACAGAAACAATCTAAAAAGTAAAAAAATTGAAAGCAGGCAGAAATTCCCCGAATGGATAAATCCCAGAAGGAATGGAAAAAAAAAAAAAAAAAAAACGCAACTAAGGAAAGACCGAGATCAAGCATATAAATAAATAAATAAATAAGCCTATTAAATGGCAACATTGTTTAAATAAACTTTTTACATCAGAAAAAAGGAGAAAAGCAGCACAATCCCAAGGAATTTAAAAATATTGAAAAGATGTTATTTTAGATTTTAAAAAGATATATTAGAAACATTATTTTAGTGATTTTGTTGAATCCTTCGTATTTCTGCCCCAAAAAATTCACTTTACCCCAGACAACTTCTGTGTGACTAAAATGATAATTTTAACTTTTAATACGCATACTTAAAGGTTTGATAGCCCGTAAACTTGAATAGCCAAGTTTGTTTTCAGTATTACGCGAGTTTTCATTTGACAATTTCTTGAAACCTCTTTGTTTTGAGTTTCTTATTGAGCATGAGCTCAAATCCAGAGATAGTGGAGACACAGATATTTTAAAATAAAATAGTTCCAGTTAGTTTACTCTATATATTGTGCAGATTAGTATTTAAGAACAAAACAAGATGATTTTCATAACGGAGAATACCAAATGGACTGAAAGTAATAAAAAAAGAGATTTAATTTGATAACTAATGATTTTTAACTGAAAATGATTTTATTATCATTAGAAACGCGATTATGATGAGAACTGAATGAAGTTTTTATACGTAATTTTCCCAAATTGCAAACATCAGAAATGCTAATGTAGTATTATTTATTCATTTACTAAAATAAATGTACATTAATTAAATGTATAATTAATAATTACCGTAATTTTGCAGGCAAGAAGCATTACATTTCTTAATTGCATTGAATATTTTGAGTTAACTCCGAGGGGAAAAAAGCAGTCTTAATGAACTCTATGCTACTACAAAGTGAAAAAAAAAAAAAAAAAGAAAACCTTGCCGTTACAAATAGCGAAACTTATATCGACTATTTTGAAGCATTTAATTTCTAAGTAGCATTAAAGTAAAATGATAATTGATGTGAAATTACTATAAAATTCGTTAATATAATTAAATATTTATGAGTTACAGCGAAGCTTCTGAAAAAGAATGTTTTTTAAAACTAAAAATAAATAAATAAATGAAAAATATCCCCTTTCAACCAAAAAATGCTTGGATTTTGACCTTGGATTCGTCAAGACAAAATATATAGGACTCTATCAGGACTTAATGGTCGGGAAAAAATGCATACCATCATTAAGAAGAGTAATTATTTTACCTCTCATTGCAATTCCTTTTCAAATAGCACTTGAACGAACCCAGACTTTTCAAAAAAGCGGACATCGCAACAACCCAGTTTTCTTCTCCGACTGCGATGGCCAAGAAACAGAAAGTGTTCAGAGGCAAGAGACCTCAAATATTGAAGGGAAATCTACAGAAACGCGGAAATAAAGGCTAAGCATAACCGGGTTTTCAGTCGTAATCCCTCAAATAACAGCATGCTCAATAATTGTCAGCGGAAGTAAAATGTCATAAGCTGGTATAGACATTCATTACATGAATAATTATTACCCGCAACACGTTTGAAAAGTTATCAGTGATACATTTAATTGCTTCTTAACTCCCAGATTGCTAAACAGGAAATTATCGAATACATTTTAATTTTTCAATGGATTGTTTCTTTTCAACTTTCTGGCAACTTCCTATATAAAGTTAAAATGTGCAAACACAAAACTAAAACAATAAAAGTGTCTAAGTATGCGAATAAAAATAAAAATGCGTAACAAAATGAAAAGAATTTTAATTGTAAATCACAAGACCAAATAGTTAAGAGGGAATTGTAAATTTTAAAATAAATACCAATATCACTCAAAACTATAAACCAATTTTTCTTTTTTGCGTTTTTTATAACCGTCAAACTGCTTGTGGGTGAGAGAAGCTCACATTTATAATTATTTCTTCTTAGCTTAAAAAAAATAAAATTT